GCCCTTTGTGGGCTGATGTGCCTGCAGTGGGCCTTCCTGGGACCTTCCTCCCAAGTGAAGGTGCCGGTGTTGCGGTGTTGCGGTGTGGGGGGGGGCCAATCCGATTTCTGTGAAGATGGACGTAAATGGACATTGGAACGTTTAAGAAGTCCCAGATGCTTCTGACATGATGTGTTGGTCCTTGGTTCACTTCTTTTGGTTCTTGATTGGGTGAACTCCGACCACATCACTTGGACCCGAGTGGTCCTTTTCACCGGTCCGCGAGGTCTCCCAGCCGGAGGCGGCTGGTGCGCTGGCGGCGGGCGCGATCTTGGCCACACCGGAGGTGGCCCATGCGCGCTTGCCCGAGGAGCGCTTGCCCAGGTGAAGGGCGGGTGGGTGAAGAGATGGCTGAGGCGAAGGGTGGAATCAGGAGAAGGTGTGTATTTTAAAAGGCAGACCCACAATGGCTTCATGTTTATTTTCCTTCCAGGGGGTCTTTGCGAGGTCTCCCTATTTTAATACACACCAAATGTAACTTGTTTGGATAGAAAAAACGCAATGTTGGCCATGTTCCCACGAGTGTCCATTAAATCACTTGGAATGTTTGTAACGACATGACACATCGGACAGAGATGTCAGCTCGGTGAGGGTCTTTGGCTGTGGCCTTCCCGAGCGCAGGAGTTCGTGATCTTTGCACCCATCGTCGATGTGCTCCCGGTGCCATGTGCAGATTGGAACTGGGGGAGTTGATGGGGACTTGACAGGGCGACCAGTCCTGGAGTGGAACTTGGAGGCTTCGAAGTCGACGTGCGATGTCAGACCTCTAAAGTCGCAATGGTTGATGGAGTGAAGGACCCTGATTTCTGGTTCCAAGATCGGATCAAGGACAGAATGCCCCACTAGGCCAACACCTGTTTTGGAGATATGTTCAACAACGACCTGAAGCAATCTTCCAAGTTTCCAAACAATCTCTTCCGTGTTCCTAGGCTTGGCGTCTATTCTCAAGGGTTCTTGGAACAACACAGGTCAGTTAGTTACTAGTAGTTCACTTCAGCATGAATTTTGAGAGGATTAGAGGATTTTGAGACCGGCCTTCCTCCTGCAGATCCTGCCCGTCTTCTTCTTTCTCTTGGCCTTCCTCTGGCAGGCGGGGGCGTTTGATGTCAGTGGGTTTGAAGCCATCCCAACCTAGACCCAACCTGCTCAGGCAGCCGTCGGCTTCCGCTAGGCGCGAGGGCTGTTGCGGCCCAGTTGCGGTTTGGGCTGGCTTCGTGTGGCTTCTGTTGGCTTCGTGTCGTTTTTTTTTCTCATTCGGTGTCTTCACAGACTGAACAACCCCCCACATGGCTAACCCCTTCGCTCATGTGGCGCTCATGCGGGTCTGACTCACGGACCAGAAAAGCATGTCGACGAACGAATCTCGACCAGGTGCAGAGTCCGTCCGTCGTCCAAGTGAGCGCCGCTCCGCCGGGGCTTTTGGCGCTTTTTGAGACCCGGACACCGACAGACACGGGTGCGGTGCCAAAAGGAGCGTGTTTGGTGAGGAGAAGGGAGGACCCGGTCCTTGTTGCAAAGAATACGTGCTGGGTGTTTGGTTTTGTATGGGCTTAAGTGGTGTTGCTCATTTAAGAGATGTTTATGTTTCAAAGCAGTCTGCAGCGTTCATTCCAAAGTTTGTAGAACAATGGGCTTTTCAACTGATCCATGATTCACGTACGGTCTGCGAAATCTGATAGGTGGGCAAGATCGGACCATGTCCTGCCATCCTTCCCAAGAACCCAAGGCAAACCAGACATGGGTACTCTTTCTTATCAAGGCAGTTGTCTTCTTCCACCAACTTCTCCCGAGAGCCAAGTGTGGACCGATAAGCCGCGGGTGCATGGCTGATAGGGCTCAAGGTTCGTCCACAGAAAAGGAAGCGATTTCCGGAGCGCACAAAGCTACAACGATGGCGCGTGACTTGACATGGTTGGGCGCTGGGCCAGTGCGGTGTGGAGCGGTGTGGAGAACCGGTTTGACCCTACTGGCCAACTGGGTGTATAGGACCATAGGACCTCTTGCTGCATCTGGCCCGGGGGAGAAACTGGTCCAGCGACTGGTCCACCATCAATAGATATCAGTTTGAGATCCAACTGGTTGTGAATGAGTGTCCCCCAACAGAACTGTCAACGAGTGTTTGAGATCCCAGAATTAGACCCATGTCTAGTCCATCGGTGTAACAAGGAGATACCATTTCGGTGACTTGATATGCAGAAAGGCCATTGTCTGTGGGAGAAAAGAGAATTGGCCTTGCGGGTAGGTGCAACTTAGTCTCAGGAAGCCAGCTGGTCTTTCTTTGTGTTCCTTGCTACCAACACAAGGTCTACTTGGCTTTGTGGCTTTGCGACCATTGGTCTCGCTTCCAAAGGCTCTTCCGGCCTCCTCGTGCTGTTGGCAGCTCTTGCGGCACTCTGCTTCCTGCAGAGTGCCTTTGTGGGCCCTTCCAAGACTGAGGCAGGCGGACACGTGATAAATGGGATCTGGAAATGTAAAGCCGAAGAAAGAAGCAGATCAAGGCTGCACTGATCAAGGCCTCTTTTTATAGCCTACCCAGGGCTGTATATTTCCTCAATGGTTACAAATGCCTTCGTGCGCCACGCTTTGAAGGTTGTCTTTGCACCCAATAGTTATATAAGATTGCAATGATGCAATGGCCATGGATGCATTACTGCAGAGGCCAACATGGCTACTCCTGGGGCGTGATACAGTACTTGTACTTCATGCCCATCGTTTGGGAGTTGTTTTTAAAGGCTGAGAGACCAAATGCGAACGTGCATGGGCCTGCACCGGGCTTGCATATGCCTTTTTCAACCATCGGCAATGGTTCGACCTCTGTAGGTCGACCATCTCCGGCCGAGCCAAGCTGCCCAGGTCTCCCAGGATGCCGCCAAGCTGGCGGTGGCTGGTGCGGTGCTGGCAACGCCCGAGGCGGCCCATGCACGACTGCCAGAGGACCGGCTGGAGCCTTTGAGCCGGGTGAACTGCAAAGGGAATCGATGGAAAACTGCCTCGTTCGGATGACAGTGTTACCAACATGTAAGCCATGTCATGTTCAGATTGGTAGCTCCGAAGATTCCATTTTTCAAGTGGTGTCTCTTTCTCTCTTTTCTTCTGGGCCAAAGGTCGTCTTTGGGAACTGATCTGACTTCTACTGAGAGCTTCACCCACCGTTGACCCGATTACCTTTCATGCCTCACCGTCTCCTCCCCCGCTCTTCACCGTTTCCTCACCCGGTGGCGGGATCCTCACCCGGTGGCGGGATCCTCGCGGAAGGAGTTCGTGATCTTTGCGCCCATCGTCGATGTGCTTCCTGCCTGGGCCTGACTGGGTTTGGTGAACTCACTAAGGTCTTTGGTCTTTGGACTCAACTATATATCCAGTGTTTTCGACTGTTTTGTGTGGGTTTTGCCAGTTTCTTAGGAAAGATCCAACAGTGTGGACGGTTTTTGATTGGTTCAATCTTTTTTGAACTCTTTCAACAGCCAGATGACTTTAGATCAACATCTTGCATCTTTTACCGGGAAGACCTCATGCTATGCTGATCAGATCCTCCCCGTCTTCTTTTTCCTCCTGGCCTTCCTCTGGCAGGCTGGAGCTGGGAGATTGGCTCACCAGACAGAGTCCTGCGCAGTCGATCCCAAGAATTCCATAAGTGGAAAGGAACCGAAGAAACCAGGACTATGCTCCAAGAAGTTTTGAATCGGCTCATGTGCGCTGCCCCTAGCTGCAAGAGCTCAGCGCAAGCCTATAAGATCGACATGCCTGCCATAGGGAGAACTTCATTCGCAATGGGCATCCGGTGTCCAATCTGCGGTCCGCATGCGCACGAAACATGGAA